TGTGTGTGTGTGTGTGTGGAAAGAAGAAGACGCATGTTGGTGATGCGATCGTGAGTCGAATAAGGATCGAAATGTGGCGGAGTTCGAACTCGGCGCGGCGGTCCGACTGATTTACATATCCGTACCGCTCGGCGTACTCTCTTAAGAATCACTATAAATATGCCGAGGGTGGTTTAATATGCGGTAGCCCTTTAATTTATAACAACTTATTAAATAAAGGCTCGCGGGCATTTACGCGCGCGCAACGTAACCACTCGCAGCGTCTTATCCATCTCGATAAATAAAGTATCCGCATCGAGATCGCCAGATCTTGTTTCTCAGTTCGATCCACTCCGTTTCATTATATTTATATATGTATATATAGCGCCTGTATGTAAAGAATTATGCGCGCGAAGAATGACATAAACTTGGTTCATATGAACTTGTTGGTGGATAAATAACTCGTATAATTGGAGTTTATATAACAAGGGTTAGCTTGCTCTAAAAATTCACGACAAAGTGGACGCAAGTCTAGAAATGAATATTTTTTTGTAGGACGTCATTCGAAGGATTAATCGAATTTGAACTTCCTCTTCCGAGACTGTGATTTTTTTCAATTTAAATCGTCTGCTTCCCAATTTACGGAGCTGTTACGTTAAATTCTAAAAGTTTCTTAAATCAAAGCGACGAAGATTTCCTCGCCCAAAAATCTCAAAGTGTAATTTCCGTCAGTGACCTGCAGAACAGATCAGACGGTTGAAAACGTGTCTTCTGCGCAAGCGGTCCGGTAGGTTCGAGAGTTCATTGAACAGGGACGCGTGTCAAAAGTGACGTTTCGAGCCGGACCATGTCAAAAAACGTGAGAAACGATCTACATCCACGTGTCCTGCGACAGTTCGATGCACAATCGTGCACTGCCTGCGGCTATGCGAAACTTATTTGGGTAGTCTCCCCTATATGATCCTTTATTTTGGCGCGTGGCTGCATCGTTTGATGGACGCACTTCCGCTTGGCCAAGCAGAGGAACGCGCGCGCCACGGATTTCAACCTTTATCTATTTCCACTGCTTTCTATTTTTTTCCGATCGCTTTGTTGTACGTCGATGAAGCACCGTCTCGTCAACTTTTTCAACTGCATGAAATTCATAAAACCACGCAAAGCGCGACTCAAAGATTCAAAGATTTCAAAAAAAGTAAATTGTTCAGGATCCAGCAACATCGTCTCAATGAGTTTCCTTTCCGGGAATTACGCGCGGATTAATTTCGATACAGCGGAGAGCCTCAGGGCGTACCCTTCCTTTCCGAGTCTAATTGGGTTGCACGCGTGTACGTGGCTACGTGTGTACAGTTTCTCACTCCTTTCGTGCGTGATCTACGCGCCACATCCCTTCGTGTGTACATACTCGGCGTGTTCTCTATTCAGCGTTGCTTCGACGTGCAGAAACCACGGAAGGATCCTTCGCCATCCCAAATTTTCCAACTAAACGATACCGAATAATTCTGCGATACTGAAGAACGACAGAAACTGTGAGAATGTGCACGTTGACGTATTAGAAAGTTTTCAGCGAGAATTTTTCAGCTCGAAAGATGGACCGCGATCAAATTATTACTTTTCGAAATATTTGGAATACCTTTTGATTCTCGGTGTTTCCCGATTCCGTTTTAATTTAATTCCGCTGCCAAAAATTCAATGCCACGTTAACCGTAAATTAATCTGATTCGAGCTTATTGTGCCACGTACACGTGTACGTGGATACGCGTCCCTTATCCACCTTGCACGCTCCGGATGTTGCTTAGAATGTTTCGGGGTAGGTTCTATCTAACCCATTGCACGTGTCTCGCTAGAATCTAGGGCGTAAATTTGTACGTATATGTACACCCACGTTTACGAAGAAGAATATAACAGCGGCACCTCCTTAATTAACACCGTTGTGCACACTGTGTGCATACGTGTTCTCTATATAATGAAAATGGTCTCGCATTTTGATACCCAAATTCGTCGGAATGTAATAGTTTATGCAGTAGCTGACAAAAATATTATCTCGACAATATAAACGCTTATTTAATTTTTATGAATTTATCTTTTCAACACTTTACCATGAGATTCTGGTACCTAGTTCAGCCCACTAGAGAACTCCAGTTAAACAGTGAAGTATTCTTTGTTTCCTCAAATTAAATGTGTGTAAGAACTATACTTCCACGAGACGTCCATTCAATACGAATAGACGGTGGCTCCTTTTCAGGAATTCCAAATCCGTAATCACATGTAATTTTCCAATATACACACACACACACGCAGAGGGGAGAAGAGGAAAGTCGCCTTTAATGTCAGACACATCTAACCCCCTTTGCACGTGTCATCCCGGAGAGACTAAGGGCGTGAACTCACGTTCACGCACGCCCACGCACGAGGGGAAGATAACGGTTGCGGGGTCACTCGACACGGTGTTCTCTCTCACAATCTTCCTCTCCACCCTGTTGGAACGGCGACGTGTAACAACCCTTACCAACGCGACCAACCTTCTCTCTCTCTCTCTATCCATCTGACTCTTTCTCCTTCCCTCAGCTAGGCTTGCACAATCGCCGCCTGATTGATAATTTATACGGTGCGTGCAGGTTATTTGATTATCTGTCCCCCCTCCCCCAACTGGCCCTCTCTTCTTCTGCCTTTCGTCTCCTTTTCTCTATTTCAACGATCCTTCGAGTCTTAGATCCTTCTTTTATTATTCTACGCGTTTCAGTATACGCAATCGTATCGTGAAAGTTTCAAAATTTTTCGAGGAACGATACACATAGTGAAAAAGTTTCGCTTCAGCTCTGCAACGCACACAAGCAATGTTCATTCGAAATTTACATTTCGACTAAATAGTAAACCATTTGCTCCATAAGTAGAATAAAAATCATTCAGCTCAATAAGTAGAATAAAAATCATCAAATCATCATTGATTTACATGTAGTTGCACGAATATTTCGCAATAGATGGCAAACTTTTCTCAGACTGAATTTCACTCAAATGCCGAGTCGTGAACGTACAAGTCCGTACAGATGGACTAGGCGTGTGTCTACCAAGTTCCAGGGGGATGCACCATGGGTTACCTCAAAAGAAGATTCCGAATGATACCAATTATGTCATCAACTCGCCATACGTCCCCTTGGCTGCATTCGCTCGCTGTCATAGCATGGATTACGCCCGCATGTCAACCCCTGCCAGTCGCGCCACCCTCCGTATTTTTCCTCGCTCGCCTCTCCCTTCTCCTATCTGTGGAGATCCGCACAATCTCAGAATCAAAAGAAAAATATGTAATTGTCCTTATTTACCCTTACGCCTTTTTCACGGTCGGGCGGATACCACGTCACAGCACGACACCGTCAGTGGACTACCGTATCAATTTTTATCCGAAATTGAAACGAAAAGCTTGACTATTCGAATAGACCGGAGTTGGAGCAGAGATTTATATTAAAAATATTGTTGCAGAAACGACTGTGAAACTTCTACGTACAAGATGTAACACGTTTAGAATAGCATTGGAAATTCGCAAGAGACGAAGGATAATTTTAATTAGAATGACTGCAAAAGTGAAGGAGAAGAGAAAATTCATCACTGAACACACACAGTTGACGATGTTAGTGATTTAGGATTTTTTCGGCTAAAATTGCGTTTTGATTGCCGTGGGTTTTCGCGACCGAAAACAGCCCAGATTTCTGTGCTCCTTGTTGCAATAATTATTATACGTGACATTCTGCTCGGCATTTAAATGGAAGCAACAATTCTCTTTAAGACCATTTCTCGGTGTGCCATCGACCATTTCGTTCGTCAAACCTTTTTTGTAATCCATTTCTCGCTCACGATTTATGACATTCCTTTTTCGTTCGTGTCCTTCAACGTTTAACATTTTCCCCGTATTGTCTTCACTACCGGTATCAATTTGCAATTTCTCATTGTTGAGATTTCCCTTCGTACCGATTGAATTCGATTTCGATTTCGCTTTCGCATCATTTACCAAAGAATCCGTAATTTTACTTTTATTTTCTGTATTGAATCCTCCACTTTGAAAATTCGTCGACGTATCGGCAAAGTCGATTGCTTCGCCTACAATCACGCTCGGCTTTATTTTCGGTTTCGTCCGAGATCTCGCCGAGATCGAACTCAGTCGGCACGGTTCCTCGTTCGATTCTTTCAACTCCATCTCTTTATTCTCCTCTCTGGAGACACACTTGAAATTAAACTGATTTTTCGTCATTGGATTGCTCGATCTATGACGATCTCCTATTCTTATCGGCAATTTAGAGTGACCAAATCCTTCGGATCGAATTTTCTTCTTCACAACTATCGGTGAATGTTGATTGGACGCGGCAACTTCTCTGATTCTCGATCTGTCTAATTTTCGTTTCAAACAGGCCGCTGTTCTCTCTACGATATTCGTCCTGACTTTCTGGTCGTCGGTAACGCTCGACGTGTCGTTAGCGTTCGCTGTTCTCTTCTTTTTATCATCATTTTCATCTTCCGAGGCGCTACCTCTCTTCAAACACCTGTTTGTCTTGTTTGTCCATCCAAAAGTAATTTTACTCGCAAGTTTGCTCTGACTCTTCCATTCGTACTTGCATTGTCTTTGATTCTTCGTAGAGTCGACCATTTGTAAATTCTTATGGACATTCGTACTCGTAACTCGACATTTGTCGAGGTTGACATTCGATTTTTCCTTTGCTTCGTTCTCACTTGACTGTTCGTTATGGAGAGCATAAGCGAACAAGTTTCGTTTATCATTATCAATTTCCGATGTGACTTGTGGTTTCATTAACGATGGACCATTACAGGATCCTGAATTCTTAGAATACTTCTGCAGGAATTTATCTTTCCATCTGCGAACGTCGCTGTTTTTTGTTGAACTCTTCATAATCGGACAAGATTTATTGTCTAAAGAAACTTGTTGTTCATGTGGGTATATAATCTCTTTATTTCCAGTAATTTTCTTATATTTCTCATCGCTTTTGTCCAATGGAATAAATTCCCAAAAGTTGGCTCTCGCGTTGCTCTTCTCAACCTGACTTGCCAACTTTGAAAACCGTTCGGCGGAAGTACAAACATTCTGTAAATCTGATAAACTGTCTTTGTCCACTGCACGATCAACGAATCGCCTATCCACAGAACGATCAGAATCCGTGTCCCTTAAACTAGAATTAATAGATTTAGAATATTCGTTATTTTGACTTTCATTGTCCTGCCGAGGCTCAGTTTGATCCAAATTCTCGTAGAGATTCTTCAAGAAAGATCGCGTCTTTTTTTGTCGATCTACAGGCGGTGAACATGTTCTGGATCGAATTCTGCTCGGAGGTGGTTCGATCCAGTCTCTTGATACTTCATCTGAATTCGCTGCACTCTCGTTTTTCGAATTGTACCTGGAAAATCTGTGATCGGCATCGTTCATTCTTTGCCAGTGTGATTTCTGATTTCTCGAGGAATTTCGTGGAATGTCTTTGGATACGAAGTCTTCAGGATAATCTTGTTTCGCGGAGACTATTCTTTCCCTGTTGATAACCATTTGATCGTTGAGGTTAGAATCTAAGCTTTTGCTGGGGTAACTGGATCTTAGTTTAGGTCCAGCGCTTTTTGGTCTTGTTGGATTGGATTGCGAGAGATTCTCCTTTTTTATATCGTTTGAAAGTACTATGTTGGGATTATTCCGAACGGTGTTTGACATTTTGTAGAAACTGTTGTCTTGTTTGTAGAAATTTGGTCTCGATCTATCTGATGATGGTCTTAATTTGCTTCTAAAGTCTGGTTTCCTTTTAAATTCTATATTCTCCATAGGATTTTCCTCCAGTGGAGAATAGCTTTGCCAATAGTACTGTAGAATTAATTAAAAGAAGAAGGAAAGATTATTCTTAATGTAACATTATATAAAAAAAAAAAAAGAAAAGTAGTCAAGTTTTCTACAAATTTCTGATGTAAGTTTAAACCATACAAAATTACAACTGTACTTGATTCGTTTCATCTTCTTTAAGAGTAAACAAATATTCTTCAGTATCCATTGCATTGAGTACATTTGATGCTCGAGATCTTTCTGCGTAAGATTTCTCCTCGATATTCTCGTCACAACGAGATTTCCAATTTTCGTTCTGTTTCATCTTGGACAGTTTTGGAAAATGAGATCGACCGGTGTTTCGCGAAGCTTTAAATGCCGGCAATCTAGCATCACATCCTGTATCTGACAATTCGACGATTTTCCGTACATCTTTGTTAGCTTTCATAGAAATGATAGGCGATATGTTGTCCATAAAGAAAAATAATGGATTGTCCGCAAAAGAATTCATGTTTGAAACTATGTAGACGACATTAACTATATATAGCCTAAAATGTGTGTCCGTTCGTAGAAATCACATTTCTTGATTCAAAATTTCACGTCAGAATACTGCAAGAATTTGTTCTTCATGAATCTGCTTGATTTTGAGCACATCGTTTGGAATTTTGAACGGGGTAATTGTCATTTGAGCTAACTAACATCTTTTCGTTGACATTTTTACGAATGGATTAATTGCACATGTTTGCATCGTCACATGTTTCCGATTTTCGTTGTGTTCAGAGATGAATTGTCATACTGGTCTTCTCGTTTTATGACAACAATATTCTGACAACTTCATGCAGGTGGATCATTTTTAGACAAGAGCTTGAAAATGACATTGGGTATCTGCTAAATTGACGAAATTCATTGAAACTCGTGGCGCCACCTTCTGAGATGTGACTATAAGTTACTCTAAATCGACTATAAGAATGCTTTAAATTACTCTAAAGTATATATGTACATATCTAATTCCTAAATATGTATTCAATCGTATACTAATTTAAAGATACTCCATATAAATTAATTTAATTTAGCTGAGGTACATTTACTAAAAATCGCTTGTTATATGTTTTCAATCAATATAATGTTATATGTTATCATCAATATAATCACCAATATAAAGTATATACCAATATAAAGTAATCTAGTCGTAAAATATATCTTTAACAAAATATGAATTAATATAATTTATTTTGTAGAATATAATGATATTTGTTGAAAGTGATACAGTAAAAATTATACATTAGTGTGAAAAATTGTACAATGATAATTATTAAAAAAGAAATATAATCTTTATGAAAATTTAAGAACAATAAAAAGATTAACAATAAAAAGATTGAAATTTTTAAAAATTATAAAAACAGTTACAAATATGTAACTATAAAATAACTATAAAAATTGAAACTCTAATGTAAAAATTGATTTATAATTATTTTATAAGCAATCCAAATGTCCGCCATTTCGCCATTTCAAATACACATTCTTCGAACAAATCAAACATGGCGTACTATTTTGTTGATTAGACAAAACTTATATATTCAAACGATATATAATCGTGATTGGAATGTATATCGATTGAATACCAAATAATGCATCAGTTATCCAATAAAAAAGAAGAACATATAACTATATTTGCTTTCATTAGAATAAATCAAATATCGTCATACCTGTGTGAAAAACTTAGCCTTAATCATCTTCAAGTTTTCTAAATACTTCGAAATTTTTCTCGCAGTCAATTAATGTTGTCTGCAAAAAAAAAATCCAAAACTTTCAAATAAATGCATAGAAGATTTATACACATGATTTATGAAATTAAATATTTACTTATACATGAATATTTGCTTGCGCAAATAATTAAATTAATGGATATAGAACTGAAAATGATACTCTTTTAGTGTGGAATATAATTGTATCTATTCTCATGTACACTTAATACGAATACAAACTTCAGTTTTAATCGACGTAAATTATTAAATCGAATATATATACGTAATAATTCTTTTAAATATTTAACAATTCAAAGGTATTGACTATAATTTTTACCTAAGAATTCCTGGATCACGTTCTTCCTTGGCGCACTTTCCGTTAATGATAACTTGCACGTTACGATCGATTTATATCGCTATAAAGTATCGCAATAACTAACTGCGAAATTTCTCCGTTGGCGCTGTGATCTTTATCTAGTTCAAGATCGTTGCGCGCGCGTTTTGTATGAAATTAGATTATGTAATTTGAAATAAAAAAGAAAGACTTTCTTTTCTAATTTTTTTCGTTTTCAAAAATTGAACTAAATACAATTCTTATTTTAGCGGTAAAAAATCACGCAGAAAATACTCTGTTTTTTTCGAAGTCAGTATTTTACGTAATGTAATTTTCACGTCTGTTGTAAGAAATTTTCTATTTTTTTATTTTATTTTCAATCAATAAATAATATATAAATAATGAAGCAAAAACCTTATCAGATGACATGCTTTATCTATGGTCAAATTTTTGAAACTCAAATCAAGAAATAACATCTATGTAAATTCTTTATCCGTGACTTATTGGTGAATATGCCGCTCTGATTCTGATTGTGAGATAAATTGTACCAATTTGTTTTTGCACCATGAAGCACGTATATAAGAAACTTTAAATTAAGTTTAAAAAAATCCATGTATTAATTTTGTATCGCATTATGATAGAGACAGATACATGTATAAAAATAAATAAATATTTTTACTTAATTTTAAATAATAAACAAGTGTACATTTCCTCATGATAAATACAAGTTAACATTGTCAAAAATGCAGAGAGAATTAAACGAAATAATTGAGAAATCATTGCAAAAAGCTTATGATCACGATAGAACCGGGAATGTAGGAAAAGCATATGCATATTACACAGTTGTTGCAGAATTATGTTCTCAAAAAAGACCTGAAATCGAAGAAGCGTTTGTCGATGTCCTCTGTATGTTGTATCACTAATATCATTTAAAATCTAAGGACCTACATATATTTATTTTTTAGGTCAATGGGGTATACAGCTAGCAGGTGAGAACAGGTTCGAAGATGTTGCTTTATGTTACAAACATTCATTAGATATCTATCCGAACAATCCTCGTATGTTGAATAATTTTGCAGCACACCTCTTAAGGTAAATTAACTCACTGCTTGGATAAACGTATTATCAGTCGGGTTTAAAATTGGTTTTTTGACATGACAGATATCATGACTACTAAAGTTCCTTATAATGAGGAAAAAAACTATATTGTTAAAGGAATAATGATCCGCTAGAAGCAATAAAATACTTAAAGAGAGCCCTGCGAGCGAATCCTAATTTTTTACCAGGAGAAAGGAATTTGCAGAATGCGTACAGTATGGCTGTAGATAGATGGCATTTTCCAATGTTGAACGACAAGCACAGAAACATGGCATTCCAGGATGTAATTTATAAGAGAATATCACAAGGATACAATACTGTGCTAGATGTAGGAACTGGTACAGGATTGTTAAGCCTATATGCGCAACATGCAGGTGCTAAGAAAATTTATGCATGCGAATGTTCACCAGTGATGCTAAAAATTGCAAAAAAGGTATTTGAAACCAATGATGCTAAGGATATAATATTATTACCCAAACTCTCTTCAGATCTTGTAATTCCTACAGATATTGCAGAAAGGTCAGTTCTCTTATAACAATATGATAAATTTATACAGAATGAAATTTGCTTTATATTAATAAACTACAATTTAATTTACGATATCTTGTTTTAGAGTGAAATTGGTAGTTACAGAAACTTTTGATGCTGGTTTGTTTGGAGAACATGTGATACCTTCTATGATAAGTGTGCATTCAAATGTTTTGGATAAGAATGGTATAGTGGTACCAATGGGAGCTACACTTTATATAGCTGCTATTGAATGTGAATATATAAGAAATAAATCAGCTGTGATGTTTGATAAAATAAAACATTTTTGTCCTCTAAATTTTGATAATATATCTGTATTGTTGGATGAGGAATACTATGATACAGAAAATTTAAAAAACGTGGAAGTTAATTATATAGTAGAACCCACAGCATTTTTTACCATTAATTTCAATAATCTGTCGGATTTACAACAATTTAATACAGATGGAATAAAAAACATTATAAATATAATGTGTAAACGCGATGGTACAATAGATGGTTTAATAACTTGGTTTAAGTTACATCTCGATGAGGAAATAACAATAGATACTTCAGAAAAGAAATCATGTTGGCAAGCTGCCATTTTCCCTACAACACCAAAATCATTGAAGAAAGATGATGTAATTGCAATTAAAGGAGAAATGTTGAAGGGAAAACTTAAATGTTCATACTCATCTAATAATTCTGAATACGATGATTATGATCATAAGCTTTTATATCGTTTACCAAAAGAAGTTATAACGTTTTTAAATGATGTAGAGTACATAAAATTACTTACTGAAGTTACCAAATCACTCATTAATAGAGAAATACACAGTATTTTGGATACTTCCCCGTTTCCTATTTACGGATTAATATTACTAAAGGAGAACAAACATAGCAAAGTTTTATACTACAAAAATGAAAATATGATGTTTCAACGATTTATCAAACAAATAGCAGAACAAAATGATTTTGAAGATAAATTACGTTTTGTATCAAAGTACAATCATATTAATGATTCTTTAGATACTATATTTATTCATGATTTCGATATTAAAGGAGAATTGAAAGATTGCAGTGATGAACATAATCACGAATTTTTTCGGTAAGAATAAATTACGTTATTGCGTTTTAATCGTGACAGAATAAAAATTTTGACAACTTTTACAGATGTTTACTTAAACCAAATGGCATTTTGTTGCCTGAACAGATATTTTTTGTAGGTCAGCTTGTGTTTTCAGATGATTTACCAAATATGGTATATGTAGAAGATAAAAATTTACAAGATATTCCAACATTTGCATTTAATGCATCAAATTTTGAAAAGGTATATAATTTTTTTTATATAACTTATTCACATATAAAAAACTAATGAATTATTATATTCCGTTATAGGGAATACATAATACTTTTAATACAACTTCTTATGGTATTGCACAATACATTAATGAATTTAAGGTGAGATATAAGATGTTACAATGAAAATAATACAACTATAAACTTTTCTCTATTATATATATTACAGATAAACCAAATTTTCGATCTGAATTCAAGTTTGTATTTATACGAACCTTTATCCAATGTAAACATATTGATAGAAATGAGAGAGAATGAAGTTGCTGAACGTGTGATAAATTTTGGAAAAATAAGTGCAACTAATAATAAATTATTGCCAAATGCTTTAGTATGTTGGTACAAAGTCAGATTGACATTAAATCATAGTTACGATACAAAAAGAAATGGATCGTTTATGAATCATACGGCAATATTATTAGAAGATGAATTAAAGAATTCCATTTTACAAGGTAATGAAGTATGTATAAAAGTTCAGCAAGCTGAAAATATAATACGAGTAAAAATCAAGTGATATTAATCCTTTACAATTTTCTATAATTATTATTCACTTTAAAATATATATTTGTTTCACATATTTCAATAATTTAAGTACATACAATTTCATACAAATAGTACAAAAAATGCAACCTATGCATATAAACAATGTAAAATAAAAAAATAAATTTGACATTAATTGTATTTTGATAAAGTGTTGTACATCGAAAATTCCCATTAAAAATAGTATTTTATAATTTACTTTGTAAATTATCGTATAGAAATTTACATATATGAGGTGCTATTCTTTCAGGATAATTATTATGCACATCATGATTTCCTTTTACAGTAATTATAGTGAAGAGGTCATTAATGTTAATAATACTCGGTAATGCTTCTATTATTTTTGACAGCATAAACATCCGTTTAGAATCATCAGCTACAACTAATAGTGTTTTAGTTGAATATTTACTGAAAAAGTTTTTGTGTTGTTCTATTGTAAAAAATGGTCTTAAAACAAGCCCTAATCTTTTATCACGATTATATTTGTACAAATCGCCGACTTTAGTGACTGCACGTTTAAACAAAGCTTCCGCACCTTCTGTGTTTAATGTTTCGTACCGTCTAAATTGCAAAGAGTACATTATTTGATCTTTGGTATACAGTCTCTCAGTATGTTTGACAGGAATATTCGTATCATATACCTTACGAATAAAACTAAGAGTGTCTGAAATGAAGAAAGGTAGAAGTCCATCAATCGCTACAATCTTTTCAAGTTTTCCAGGATATAAAATGCTAAAATATGTTCCAATATGAGCCCCCAGACTGTGTCCGATATATGTACAAGTTTGCCATTTTAATGCATCCAAAACAAACAATATTGAATAAACATAATCAAAAAAGTGTAATGGTAATCCAGTTGGCAGTGGAGATGAGAATCCATGTCCTGGCAAATCTATATTTACGTATTGGTATTCTTGTGGCAGGTATTCTATTAATCTGTCAAATGTTCCAGCATTGTCCAACATACCATGCACCATTAGAATTCTTCTTTTTTCTGAAGATCCATATATTTTGCCTGCAATGTACCCCCATGGTACTGGAAATTTCACTTCTCTTGACATCCTTTTTTGATTCATGTTAATTTCACTAAAATAGACATATTTAATCAGTCAACTTGTTATTTTATGTTTTTGAACATTCTCTAAGTGTAAAAGTTCTTATTTAAAAAATACTTTAAGTAAAATAGATGATTTTCATTAAAAGCTGCTTACCTGGAATGCTTGCAATAAAAATATTAAGTTCAAAGTTCAAAGGTTAAAAAGGAAATTTCACAAGTCATCACCACTTCAATATTAGAATAGTTATATTACAATAGTTATTATATTAAGTTCGATATTAGATTAGTTATATTACATTTATAAAACATTACTGCTATTAATTAAAAAATAACAAATTTATGTGTATATATACATATGTATGTATGTATATATACACACATATTATTTACATGCCACCATTTAGTAATTAGACAAAGATGGCGTAACGTGTTTAGAAAAAAAGTTACTGTCTCATTGAGAAATTTTAATTTATAAAAAATTGTAATTGAAAGTAATTTGATTGCTTGTCTCAGGAAAATGAAAGTGTAAGAAACAGAAAAAGGAATAGACGCTAATGAACACAAGTTATTTATGTATTTTTGAAAAGTGGGTTATATCTACGACAATTATATTTTATGAAAAGAAATTATTTGTTACTATTAACTTTTATCATTGTATGATGTAACAGGAAGCAAAGGATTAAAATTTCGTATATACCGCCAACTTTGTGTAATAACAATGATTGATATCAGGTGGCGTAGTAATTTGTACACCACTTGAATACACAGGAGTTTTCTGGCCCTGCTTTGTCATGGACATGCAAGCTTCTAATGGTTCGTACGTGTTTTCCTACGTTATGTGATATGTTCGCGCGTTAAATTACATCGTAATTTATGATTCTGGAATTGAATATTTCACGCAGGATATGGTGTATCTTCGAAGAGAAACTTCTTCTTTCGAAACATGTTTCCTAGTGGAAAAGGTTGAATAAATGTTGATTTTCAAAGCTTCGGCGTCGCTTTGAGAAATAAATCTTATTGAGTTTTTTTGTACATTTTACACGACATAGAATAGAATTCAGATACAGCAGCATCAATTTGAAAAACCGTTCTCGCGTTACGAATCACATTCTGCATAGTAGTCCGTTTGATGGATTTTCTTTGCATGCACAGAGTCGTTCGTCCTATTAAGCATCTTAATTTAATCAGAATCGCACTATTCGTTAGAAACGATTTATTTCGTGTTGAATATTGTTTATACGATCGGAATATCCTGTTATTCGATGCTAAAAAATATTAACGTACATAATTTGTCTAAGAGTAATATTTCAATCATTATGTGAATATAGGAATGGATATTTGTATGAATTCAGTGTATGCTTCCATCCCTGGATTACCGGAACTAGGGATGGTATGGATGGGAGATATGATGGTACATGGAGAACCTACACATGAACTTATGTTGGATCCACGTCAAGGTGAAAGCCCATTTTTCTCTCATGGTTCTAATCCATATGAAGATATTAGAAATCATCAAATTGCACCTACAACTATGGTACGGTATTTACCACCCCAGTTTTCTAACGAATGTTCGGAGCCTGATGAAGCCATGGAAGCTGTTGATGCCCAAGAAATGCAACAAGTAAATTTATTTCTTCAATCGTCACAATATCATTTTATATTGAATCTATAAGTAATATTTGTTATTATTATTGTTTTTTTTTTTAGGAATATGATTCACAGTCTGAAAGACAAGAAATGACTGAGTATTTAACATTAGAAGATTACATGGGTGATGAAGAAAGGGAGCAAGTTGTAAACAATGCAGCAACACAAACTACTCAGGACAATCGTAATAGAAAAATAAAACCTATAAAGCATCCTGGACTGGTTTTAAAGACACCAATTGCATATCAACCACATACAGATTTAAATTTTATTCCCATTCGTAAGGATGGCATAGGTAAGATGCAGAATTTAAGAACAAATGATAACAAATATATTAATGTATGATTATAAACGTTTATTTTTGACAGCTGTTTGTGAAAAATGCGGTGCTATTGGTGTGAAACATGCATTTTATACAAAGGAACGTCGATTTTGCAGTAGAGCATGTGCAAGATCTTCAGAGCACCCAGCTCCTATTGCTGATTCCACATATAGTCCATCACATTCAATAGAAACACCTACATCTGTAAACTCGACTTCTCCAAATGAGTCCAAATTAATGAAAAATGTAAGTTTCATTGAAAAAATATATATTTAAAACGATTATACAATATTTTTGCAAATGCTTTAGATCTCGGTGAAAGAAGAAACAGACATAAAACCTTTTGAATTAGAGAAAGAAAAAGTTATATCAGAACCAGTAATGCCAGAGGATTTACCTGTAAGAAGAAAAAGAACTGCTGAAATGGCAGGTTCTTATGATTGGACACCTCAACTAGTTGAACCAGGATTTTGTGCTGCTCCAGTATCTTGTTTCAAACACGTGGGTCTTCCATATAATCTATATTTCAATATTTTTACTGTTATGTTAATATTTTTTATTCTCAATTTTACATAAATTTTAATACTTCAGGCACCTATATCAGAAATTTGGGATAATATAACAGTTGGCATGAAAGTAGAGGTAGAAAATACTGATTGTGATGAAGTATGCGAAGCTTTTCCAGACTCTTTCTGGGTCGCTACTGTGTTACGTATATCCGGATATAGAGCCTTATTAAGGTATGAAGGCTTTGGACTCAATGCTGACAAAGATTTTTGGGTATCTTTGTGCTCGAATGATATACACCCCGTAGGTTGGTGTGCAACTATTGGAAAACCTCTTATTCCACCTAATAGTAAGTAAAAATTCATGATGCGCATTTGTTGTATAACCTTTATTATTCTAATACAAAATTTTTAACAATGGTGTCAATAATATTTTACAGCAATTGCTAACAAGTACAAAGACTGGAAGGATTTTCTAATGAGACGATTAACAGGTGCAAGAACACTGCCAACTAATTTTTATAATAAAGTTAATGATAGTATGAAGTCGCGTTTTAGATGTGGACTTCACTTGGAAGTTGTAGATAAAAATAGAATTTCGCAAGTAAAGGTAGCAACGATACAAAAAATTGTGGGTAAACGATTACACGTACGATATTACGATTCACCGCCGGAAGACAATGGTTTTTGGTGTCACGAAGATTCTCCTCTTATACATCCTGTTGGCTGGGCTAGACGAGTAGGACAGACGTTGGACGCATACCCGGAATATTTGGAGCGTGTATCAAAATCGAAACTATGCGAAGACGATGCAACTGAAGATCTTTTTTATGTGCCAAAGAACCATCATGTACACCTTGGATACACATTTCGAGAAGGAATGAAGATAGAAGCCATTGATCCTCTTAATCTCTCTGCCATATGCGCAGCAACAGTTATGCAAGTTTTAAAAGATGATTATATAATGATCCGTATTGATAGTTACGATGAAGATGCAAGTGGTGCTGATTGGTTTTGCTATCATTCATGTTCACCTTGTATTTTTCCAATTGGATTTTGTTCTCAACATGGTTTACCACTTACACCACCAAAGGGCTATGATCCTACTACATTTACATGGGATACATATTTAGTAGAGACGAATACTACACCCGCTCCTGTGCAGTTATTTAATAGGGTAACTACCGAAACGATCTTGATATTTTTTATAACGATGGTAAATTTTAGGAATACTAAATGAAGGATTTGTATTATTTATTATATTTTATATGATTTATATGCTTTATTTATTCGTTACTTTTCAACAAACAGTAATTTGGATTACAGGAAATACCTCAACATGGATTTATTGAAGGAATGAGACTTGAAGCTGCTGATTTAATGGATCCTAGATTAGTTTGTGTTGCTACTATTACTAGGGTGATTGGGAGGTTATTAAGAGTACATTTTGATGGTTGGGAGGACGAATATGATCAATGGTTAGATTGTCAGAGTCCTGACATTTATCCAGTTGGATGGTGTGATCTAGTTGATCATAAATTGGAAGGGCCCCGTGCACTCAATAAAAACACTAGTCCTACTGGTAAATTCTTCTTTCACATTCTAAGATTGTTTCAGTATTATTAATATATTTTTTACTATTCTTGTGTAACAGTTTCCATTTCTGAACACCATAAATGGATATATTCATTTTTTTTCTTAGTAAAATCACCAAGAGGCCTTAAACGTAAAACTAAGAGAAAATTGAAAAAAAGCAGCAAAGTATTTTGCGCGAAAAACATTCTACCTCGGCACAGTGAACGTATTAGCATGGCTCGTGAACGTGAACGAGAAGTAGAGCCAGCCCAAGGAATAAAAATTGAAAGAGAGCGTGACTTGGAAAGCTTACCAGAACAAAGAAATAGGGAACCAGAGCCAGCAGAAGAACCAGCTGGACCCGATCAAACTTTACCTAGCCCTACCACTGGACAAGGTCAAGCATTAAATGATACTCAAAGTGAAATACAAAGCCCTCCACCACCAAAAGAACGAACTGCGACGTCGTACATTAATGTAAGTATAATTTAATATTTTTATATTGTTTTATAATATTTTATATAGTAAATTTATATTAGTGAATGATATAAATTTATACTATATTAAAATGTTACTTTTTTTCTCCTTTGTAGAAATTAAAAATAAGAAAAAAGTAGGTTTTAGATACTGAATATGAGTGTTTAAAGTGGTATTTTTACAGGTAACGTCTGCCTCTAGCAAATATATCCCAAGGCTAGCAGATGGTGTTCAAAAAAGTTCCGAATCTGGTGATTTAGTGCCATCTGAGTGGAATGTGTTTGATGTTGCACAATTCCTTCGTGTTAATGATTGTGCAACATATTGCGATAATTTTAGTAAACGTAAGATAGATGGAAAAACTCTATTAACACTCACTAAGGACCAAATAATAGACCTAACCGGTTTTAAAGTTGGGCCTTCTTTAAAAATATATGATCTTATTCAACAATTGAAAATCAAAGTGAATCCAGCTCAGGAAAGGTTGAAATTAGGATTGAAAAAATTATTATAACAAAGATAGTACATAGTTAATACCATGAATAAGTTCCATCATTGCATACAAATAAACATGGATTTACAGGTAAGGCATGTAGATGCAAATAATTAAGAAATTCATATTTCATTATGGTTATATACAATGTTTGTTATATGCTTTATTAATAAAAATCTACTCACACACGCACACGCATACACACATATGTGTGTATGTGCGCGCGAATCTGTATATATGTGTGTCTGTGTGTGTAAATATATATACACATACATACATTAAACTAGAAAGAGCTAAAAATAGAGATCTTACTCTACTCTAATCTAGCATGTATTTGGGAAGAACAGCATTTATTTAAAAAATGAGAAAAAAGACAAAAATATGTTGTTTCGTTTTGGAAAGTAGGTAAATGTAGTAAACTAAAAATATGCATTTATACATGTTCACGGTTACTAAAATTAATATTTGATAAAATATTAGCTTTAATTTTATATGTTTTAAAAAATTTCTATTCTTCTGAAATCATCTGATTATCTAGAAATTATTAAATTACTGTGAATTATTTTCTCAAGGTGATAGAAATACGATAGAGTTATTTTAAGAGAGAGTAAATAAATGAATTCCAGAATGAGGTAGTTCAAATTTAATACAAATTTATAAATTCCTCAGCTTGAATTAATACCAATAATTTGGTAGAAAAATTAAAAACACTCATTAATATTTATATCTATGTAAATTGTTACATAAAATATCAAGGGAAATTCACGTACACATACTGCATTTAAAGATTCTCGTAAATATCGGAAATTATTTTACTATTTTAGCAACATTTCTTTCACAACGCCGTTATTTGTAAATCCATGCTTTCACGTTGCACTAAATTGATTGCAGATGCATGAACCACATTAAAAAAAATGCTAATGTATATTTAAGAACTTTTTTTAAACAGACAGAAAGTTAAAAGATGTAATTTAAAAAAGAGGAAAATTTAGGAGTAAATCAACAAAGATATATTTAATATGAAAAAGTAAATGAGACATGATAAAAATGAATCATAAAGTACAAATTAATTCTTGAGTATCAATTTACTGCAACTTCAATCATATTTGCCTTAACGTTATCATTCGCAATAACAAGATAGTTTTATATATTTTAATAGATTTGTTGATTTACTCTCTATTATAATCAAGAGTTACACATTTGTACATAATTAAATGAACGAAACGATCAACTTTTAATCTTGTAAATATAGAATTTAGCACAATATTAGGTTTAGCTAATTTTTCTGAAAAGAGGAAAAGAAACTGAAGAAAATGTAATCATAATGGAAAAGAAATATAACTATTAGGAAGTGGTTGATGCATTTGTATAACACATATTGTATCTATATGTAGCTTTATAATCATTACAGTAAATCAAACCAGTCGAGCAAAGTCTAAGACTGATTCGTCTTAGACTCTTTAAATACTATTTTTAGTATGGTAGGATAATATGATTACTTTCTTTATTTATTCAATATTTGGAATCTCATGTGGTACCAATTCTATTTGGGTCCTAAACATTTTCTTAGCACTTAATTGATAAAAAGTTAGATGCAAAACATTTGATTAATAATCACTTAGATTTTATTATGACAATCGTATCAGCATTTTAATTGCAACGTATATAGTGAAACTTTTTTTTTCTCTTTTTGTTGTATTGACGAGTGATTTCACATTCGTATCTTAAAAAAAATTTATTAATTTGGAGAATATTATATACATATAAATATATACATATAAATATCTATATCTGCTGATCGAAGGAAAAATGGTAAAAGTTTTCTTAAAATCATCATTGTGTACAAATTGGGAGGCATTATAAATAGTATTATAATTACGAACTTACGACGTTTGAATTTTGCTTTAAATACATCAGTCACATAACTGTGAGTACAAAAGAAGAAGAAACAATATCAATTATGAATTAAAAATACAAATAGTAACAGATTTTTACGTGCTGTATTGATCATTTTTAGTTCGAGAACAAAATAACGTCCAGTGTAATGGTATTTAAATGATATAAAAATTTAATATAAAAGTTAAAATTTTTTCGGAGGCAATATTCAATTTTGAAATATGAATATTTTAAGAAATTTTTTCTGATTAAAAAAAGTTACTTGCTTTATAATTATCAGATAATTTCAAATATACAAACGTACTAAGAATGAAAAATCTCAGCGATACGTGTATTTATGCAATTTTTTTACAATCAAATCATCGAGCATTTGAAATAATACTACGTATTAATTTAAATAAAATCGAAGAATGTCTAAATGCACACTTATTTTGGAAAGGATGTTATAACCAGCCGAATAGTGCTGGTTAAGTAAGCTTTTATTTTATAAAGTATTAGTAAAAATGCTTCGTGATTTCACATTTGCATATATGTCATTCCCTATTCTCATTAAAGACATGTGTTTACATTTCTAAAGTTCTGACTCGAGAAATTGAGGTTAGAATTTTCCGGATTAACAAGTATAATAGAATAAGAGATAGAGAGAGAATCGAAAAAAAGAAGATTAATGTTATTTTCATTTATTGAATTGCATTTAAGACGTATTCATAGTTATCTTTTTTTTTAAGTCATAAAAGATATAAAAACCGTCATTTTCTTACGATGCAATATATAATTAATACAAACAATAACTATGAACACGGTCTCTTTGAATATTATTTTTAGCTTGTGTCATTCTACAGTGTTAATGGAAAAAAAGGAATTCCGCAGATAATCAATTTAGTATTTATCTATAATGATATAAAATAGGTTCGGAAGTGAGAATATTTTTTATTTCCTCTTTTATTTGTAAGTTCATCACTCCTATATTTCATATTATAGAATTAAAAAAGAAATGATTACAAAAATAAATGTTTTTCACGTATATTGTATAAAAAAAAAAAATTTGCAAATGATGGAAGTACATTGTTTATATTAAATCATTTAAGTGTTTATATTTCGGTTGCCGATCCATTATTTTTGCATGTGCAATCGTTGACCGTCAGGTGGCACTAGCTGTACCACTTTCTACAATTTATTGATTTAAACAAACTCGTCGCAATTTCCATGTAAAAAATTATTTGAAAAATATCCGAAAACTTAAGGAAACTCGAATTATATACAGCTTTTGTTTTATAGGTTATTTACAGAATTATTTACAGATGTGTAGATTGAGTTGCCACTGCTTGATCAGAGTAATTCATATAAAATATTATTGAGACTTATTATTTTTTTATTAGTCATATTTTTATTTTCCACACATTGATAGAAAAATTCGAAAGAGATCATGATTTGTGAACGAAGACAGTACATTAAGATCGTTTGCAATTTCACAATCAAGGAAAAATTTTCGACACGTGTAACGAGATATACAAAAATAGTTGTTTTAAATTACAAAATTACACCAGAGTAAGGATAAATCATTAACGAGTATAGTGCAGAAATTTTTATTCATTACACAGTTTACACATGGCTTTGATCATTGGGCTGCGCATCAATGTAATGAAATACAGGACAAGGGCTTTAGGATGTGTATAGTATGTGCGAGGAAGCAGCGAATTTTTATTGTCAACTTTCGTATCGTGTAACATTGCGCAGAGAGCTCGATGAAGGACCAGGATAGAAAGAAGGTATTCGGATGTGTGCGCGCATGGCTACGTATGTAGTCATGGTCAGTGGTAGTGTGCGTGGATTTAGACTCGCGCAGGTGGGGGAAGTGGGGGAGACTGGCGTATTCTATGGGCGGGGCCTCTGCCAGCTGGCAGATGTTTCCCGCGCGGCCGCACCATTCCTCTAGCGTAAACCTACGCGACGTGAAAATAGTCCCTTCTAACGCGTTAAATATTTCTAACAATAGCTCGCCAAGCAGACAGCTAGCCTCGCCAGTGGATCCACCGTAATGCGGTACGCAGTCTGCTCGCAACTACCTGCGGAAAACCGTGGAAACTCCGTGTGAAACCGAAGATGAGCTGGTGTGGGATTGGTCCAAAGAGAGTCATTGTTCAGGGCAGAGTAGCGCGTACCGTTCACCCTAACCGCATACATTAAACTTATCGCGAGTGTCTTGAAAATGTTTCGGCAGCGCTCGACGTCGTGAATTACGTCGATGTTGTTGTGCCCCATCGAAACTGATTGTGAAACACTCCGTTGAAGCAACTCGAACTCGATCGTGTGATTATATCTTCGTTTTTTGCCTGTCGTTTCTACAGTGCGCGAGTGTCATTATCATCGACAAAGTTTCATGATAAAGTTTAGCATGTGCCACGTGATAATTTTGGTGTACACGCGCGAAATGATTCGTTTCGTAACGAGGTTCGTGAGACGATCTCTCTGAGATGTAGCTGCAAATTAATTTACGCTGCTTCATCATCGAACGTACAATTCATCGAAATTTCCCGATACATTCGGGACGAATAACGTACACGATTACCAATAGCAGTGTTAAATATCGTGTTGAACACACGGTCACTAGTGTTAGAGGATAAACAGTTTCTATGGTATAAAAGGTATAAAAGGATTAGTAGAGAAAAAGAATTCGAAAGAATAAAAAGTGACAGATCGGCAGAGAGGGGTGCTAGGAGGACCATAGGTGTTGACGGCCCTGAAGCCGGCGGCGGCGGCGGAGTGATTCGCGGCGCTCTGTGGGGGCCCTCAGCTGTTTCCCGCCAAAGATCGCCATTACAAAACGCGTTCGGGCGTTGTGTGTGCGCCGCGCGGAGTGGCTGTCCCGTGGACGAATCTCGGTGCGTGCCACCGTCGTCTAAAAAGAAAAAGAAAAAGTTAATTAACGAGTTGCCGCGGAGTATCCGTGTCGCGTTTGGCGTGAGGTGTGCGCGTCGATTTTTTTTCCGTGTGGAGTGGTTGCGAGAGAGAGAAAGAGAGAGAGAGAGAGAGAGAGGAAGAACACAGGCCCATCGTCTTTTCGCTGCCGCGACGACGGCTGCTGGGACGGTGCGGGATCGCGCGGCGGGATTCTCAGTGCTGCGGACCAGCGAGATATGTCAGTGTTTGGTGGCGAGGATCGTATTCTGCTCGAGGAAATTGTCGAAACCACCGAGGAACAGGAGACCAATTTGTGCGGGTGAGTGTTTCATTCCATTCTGTTGCCTGGATCGTTAGGGAAGAACGCGCAACGCCGAGAATCGCGAAATTTGGCCAGGAATGCGCCGCACGGCCATGTGTCGACCGGGGGAAAACTCGTACGAGTTACATACGCGTTCGCGTGTACGTCAGCGTTATATAGTATATAGAGCGGCGCGGTTTGACACGCCACGTCATTTGCGACTTTAACTCTCCGCGGACTGTGAACCGCGAAATACTATGGCGGGGTCGAGAGAGTGAGACACTGGTGTGTCACACCGAATTTATAATTTTTCTTTGTCAACTTCGGCCACGTCCGAAATGACGGATACGTTGGATCCGTTCAACGTGAATCGCGAATCGTGCTTCGAACGGTGACACGGATTTATCGGCAAAGGAAGGCGTGCTCGTCCTCCTTATATTAAGTCACGCCGATTCTAACATTTTCAGCGGGGCGACTCTTTCTGTTCGCCATTGCGAATGGTCGTTATATTAGCACTAGTCGTCGACGTCGCGGTGGCATTGGCAAGACTCGGTAATCGTGACACGGACGCAAAACGTGTGTACAATACAAATAAAATCCTAGCTGGCTCTCTCTCGATAGCCAGCTGTCGCGAAGCCGGCCGGCCGGCCGGCCGGCACAATAGCCTTCGTATTATACGACACCACTACTGCGTGATATTTCTTCGAGTTTGTTACGAATTCAAGTTTTTTTTTTTTTTTTTTTTTTTTATATTTCTTTTACTTTTTCTTCCTTTCTCTCAAAGTTGGGCTTCAGTTCCATCGTCGCGGCAATTAGAGTAGAAGTTCGGGAACAATTTCGCGATGAGGTTGTGTCAAATCGCGGACGTTTCGTGCGTTCACGCCCAAACAAGCATGGCGCGGGAGTCACTGCCGATATCAATTGTTTTCTAACAATATTAACGTGGAATTGTTGCGAGATTTAAGGATTTCGTGGTTTTTCTTTTTTTCTATTTTTTATTTATTTGTGACGTTGGTTAATGACGGATCGACTTGAAATTGTCTTATAATTCTCGTTAATTAATTTTACATCTCTGCAGTGTATCATAGTGTATTTTACTATATCTAGGGAAATTTTGAAAAAGTCGTCCGCGATATTGGCAGACGATAATTCTAACTTTGATTTCATTACATTTCGCATAAATTAAT